TCCTGCTGTATTCAGGTCTGTCTTTCTCTTTTTTTTTTCTTTTCTTTTTCTTTTATACAGGCGATACGGCTTATGGTTTCGATTGAGGAAGTTGTTAATCTGGTTGCTAGGAGTGTACATAGCTATTCCATTCCTAGTCAAACTTTGCCCTGCTATTCAGGCGAAGCTGGTCTTCCTAAACTTTGGTAAGTGACTCAGTGTGTTGGGATGGGTGAGGGGTGAAGGGGAGGAGTGTCTTTATCTTTCATTTGTCTGCTGTCACGTTCATGCTACATGTGTACAGCTTGTGAAGGATATGAACTTTCACAGGTTGTAAGTTCTCCAGACTGGTTTGGAGAGCATTCTCTGTGACCCTAGTGGTTTTTGTAGTATGTCTTTTTATATAAATGTAGTGACCAAACTGAAGCCAGCTTTCAGCTGAAAGAGTCTCCTTCAGGAAAACTGTGCAATATGTCAAATGCATTTTTCCAAAGGGTTCAACAAAGTTGCATGAATAGACAGCAAACAAGTGAAATTAAATCCAGTGAATTGTTTTTCAGGCAGTGACTCTTCACCTGAAAGCACTTTAGGAGAATGTTCTGGTTGGGACTAAAGAGACCTGTTCGTGCAGTCAGATTTAATGTTTTCCTTGTCTGTTTAGCCTTTACATTTGGTCAAACTAGCTCCCAGGTCATCCAGGGAGGCCTGAGCATCCACAGGATGGAAGGTGATGGAGCATCACTGTATGGGAGATACTTCTTTGCGATCTAAATTTTTCTTTAAACCTCACTTGTGTTTTGTAATGAAGTTTTGAAAAATATTTTCCTTTGATTGTAGAAGCTCTGGCTAGAAGGACCAACTATGGATATGTTGTTTTTATATAACCTGTGTCATTTTGACTGCATGCTCTGTATATTCTAACACCTTGGATCATGATCACTGTGAAGTGTGCATGTGTACAGGCCAGCTCTTGTGCCTTGATCATCAGAACTGACAGCTGGGTAACAGGAATAATGCAGGTTACTTCTATTTTTATCACCTTGCTTTTTCAGTGATGATTTTAATTTGCCCTTGCAGAGCTTTATTAGGTCTCCCTGAAGTTCCTACCTCTGTTCATTCCCAAGTGACGGAAATAATTGTCCTGTAACACTTCCTTGCACTAGTACTTGCACCAATATCACTGCAGTGTTGTTCCTGCTGCTTTATATAATGGAAGTCAGATTTTACTTGTGACAGTGCTCCCATGAAAAACTATTTGCCTTAATACAAAGTGCATTCTAACGCACTTGTTAGAAGTTTGTTGGCATGTTTGAGTAATTCCTCTCCACTGGAGAGTGACATTTCTCCTCCAGAGGAGTGGTGTAAGGTTTGCCCTGTCATATTGGTTTTTTTAACCTTCTGAGTATAAATCAATACTCTTCAACTAACTTTTTCTCTTCCTGTTCTGTAGTTCGAAATTTGCTTCCAAAACAGTAGTACAGAGCTTCAGGAGAAAGTGTTTCCATTTGTTTCTGGAGATAGCTAAAGATTAATTGATAGCCCACTGTTAGCAACCAAACCAATGTCTGAATTTGTTCTTGTGGACAGACTTTTGTTCCAGGTTATGAGATACTACATAGGCATCTCAAGTTGTCTCCACTGGAAGTCTTCAGAAAACTGAGATTTCTAGAAACATAAATACAGACTAGATCAGACTTTTGTCATGTGATGTGTTGCAAGTGGTACCAAATAGCTCTGAAACATGTCACTAAAATAACCCTTGGTGTGCTGTATCTCCATGTCATGTATGCCTATATGATGATGATGATAATCTGTTTGTGTAGAATAGATGGATAATCCCAATGATAAATGCCATACATAAAAATTGCCTGTATTTTTATATTTTTCTCTTGCTTTGAGGTAGATACTGGCCCTATCACTGTAACATTGGTATGTTCCTGTTCGTATCTTTGTAATACAAAATCTGACAAGAAAGTTGTAACACATTTGGCACACGGGAAAATTAAGGCACAGAGAAGTTGAGTAATTTTCCCAGAACACTGCTGGAAGTGACTTGTGCACCTGTCCAGACCTTGACCACAGAACTTACCATACTTTTGAAGGATCCACCATCCTTCAGAACACCACCAAGTTCTGCAGTGACAACATAGTGACCCAATGGGTCTCTGGTGGCATGCATGCTTTGTCTGGGACTCTTCCACATGCTTTTGCATAAGAGCAAACAGACTTGCATAGGTGTAGATTTACAGTCTAAGGGGCCAGCTTTGTCAGGTTAACATCAGCTGTTGTCTGCCTTGGGTTTCATGCTTGTGGAATGTTTAGTGACTTTTGCGGGGGGGGGGAGTGTAAATGAAGTGAGACTTGACTGTGACCATTATCAGTGCTTCTTCGTGTGTCAATAGCACAAAAACTTTGATATGTTAATTGTTACGCCACTAAATTTCAAGGAGGCAGAATTCCTGGTTCCGCTGGAGTGGAGCTCAAGTTTATGGGAAGAGCCTGAATCATTGGAAAAGTGAGTCCTTAGAACTGCTCCATGCTCTCAGTAGATCTGTATAGCATCTTTCTTGGTATTGGGTGTGTCAGAGACTGCTTAGAGAGGCCATACAGCATTGGTGGTGGAAGAAGCAGCATTTAGACTAAGCATGTCACCTCAATTGGTGTCTGTAAGACGTAGTTTGTGAACCAAGCAATGGAATACAAAATGCTGAAAATGTTTGTTGTTTGACTTTACTCATGTTGCTCATGTTTGAATCATTGAATATAATAAGCAATGAACAACTATGTGTTCTATAAGTTGGGGAACATAAAACATTTGGAAGAATAAATTGGGGTGTAGTGATTTTATTTTCAGGGGTCTCTTCCTGAAGAGATGAAGTTTCCAGCCTAACGTGATCTCTCTTAAATGCTGCAGTGTCTGGGAGATACGGCAATTATTTGATAGTCTTTGGAGAGTAGGCTAATGAACTGCATATCCTCCTAAAAGGCTGAGAGGACAGTGTTTACCACAATTTATCTTACTTTATCTTACTCATACAGGCCAAGAGCAATGTGATGCCTGCTACTATAGTGCAGTATCTCCTTTAGATTGTTGTATTATAGATGCTGAAACCACGTGTCATCCTGAAACATATTACAGCTCTGGGATGCACCCTTTATTCCCAGGGAGATTTTCCCATCAGTAACTTCCATTACAGCTACAATGGAAACAGTAAAAGGTTTTCCAAATCAGCTAACCCTCCCCATTGACACTGCAGGAATGACTATCTTGTGTCTGGGAGATACACAAAGCAGACTGGGCAGAGGTGGTTAAACGTGTGTCTCGGGAAGCTTTGTCATCCCCCACCTCTTAATTTTAGCCTGCTCCCTGTTTTTTTGATGGTTGCTTGTGTCTTCTTACCTTGCTGTCTTTGATGTTTATATTTTAGTCACAGTTGTAGCCAGTTCATCCTTTCACACAAAAAGAACAGGGTTTTCCCAACACAGTGGACCAGTTTGTACAACTCTCCAGTGCCTTGGTAAAGCAGTTTTGTAAGAAAATAAAGGTAGAAATTGAAAGGTTTCATATTCTGGGTTTTTTCTTCTTTTTCTTTTTTTTTGTATTTCAGTGAGGGTCCCATATTTCATTGACTTGAAAAGACCACAGGATCAAGGTTTAAACCACACCTGTAATTATTACCTGCAGCCAGAGGAGGATGTAACCATTGGAGTCTGGTAAGGAAGACTGTTCTGTGCAATATGTGCCATGCATCTTTATCTTTCTTTTTGTTCCCAGTGTTGTCTATCCAGTATTTTTGCTGTGCATGTGACAACCATTGCCTGCTCTGATTTGTGGATGTTTGCGTTTTCCTCTGCCAAGTGACCGAGTTCGTGTTGAAAAGTATGCAAATTTGTGGAGCTTGTCTGAACTCAGATCAGTAATGCATGAAACACAATCAGAAAACCTGTGCATTCAGAAAAACTTCATAATTTGGAATTGTAAAGGTTACAGGTCTGCATTGCTATAAAGATCGTGTCTCCATATCAGATGAGACCCAAGGAGTTAGAAGTTTTGTCATTCAACTGCTGTTCATATTTTGCTTTGCAAAATAAATGTGGGGGAAGATAGGAAAACAGGATCAAAGTGTTCAGAATAGGAGGAAGAATATTCTGTGCATGAAACGTGTAAGGTTTGGAGAGTGGGTGAGAATGGAAGATGCAGTTTACTGTCTTTACTCTCTTAACGAAACAAGTGTCAGAGCTCACTTGTCATTCATTCCTGACAAAGATTTTCTGGTCCCAGGCAAGGGCAATTCATTTTAGCTCCTTGTTACCCAAGATCAGCTCAGATGACTGGTTCTCTGTCTGAAAAGGTCTGCTTTCAGTACTTCCTGTATTATAAGACCAGCTCAAACCAGCCCCTGCATCTGTTTCTCATGATCACTTTCTATTGTGTCTCAACACCAGGAGTTTCAAAGCCACAGAAGAGTTCCTACTGGCTTTGAAGAAAAAGTCCCTGCAGTTTGAATATATATGCAAGAGCAGCAAACATCTGAAAAAAAAGGCTAGATATGATGTCAGGTGTGAGGGGAAGGGGGCTGTTCCTTAATACAGCCAGTGATGTTAAATCTGTAAGCTGTATCATTTGGAGTTTTCAGTTAAGTGTGTGTAACTTGTATGTGTCCACTAATGCAGTAGAGGCTTTCTCTTCACTTGAGGGTGAATTCATCTTTTTGAATGGGACAGTGATACCCTGTTACATAAAGATGGTTCCTTCCCTTTAAGTGGGTTCTGTTGAAAGACATGTTTAGAAGCTGGAAGTTCAGCCTTTCCAGGATAGGCTGGTAAATAATGGTTTGTATCTTCACGTGGACAATTAAAATTCCACCTGCTAAGCTGTTGAATAAGTTTAGATTGCAGTCTTGAGATTTTTAATTTTGTTTCCCTGACAGGTGTACTGTGTATCTTTATTAAAACAGGACTTCCAGCCTTGTGGTGGCAATTCGGAGTCAATGTCATTTGTCTTGATACTTGTAAGATAGATTTTCATGAAAGTTTGGAGCTTTGCTTTAATGCCAGCATAAAGTCTTGTGTTTGGTATACTTCTGAAACAAAGTCCTCGGACTGCTTTGTTCATAAGCTTGCAAAAGTCTTGAGGCAGAAGAGTTGGCTAAGTTTTAAGTCCTACAGTTGTTAGGGCACTTTTCCTTGTCCAGTACTTGATGTCTGCTGGCTGCTTGCATGCAAGTAGACTTTTTACATTGTTTCCCCCTGTGTTGGTTTGTCCTCTGAGCTTTACATCTGTGAGGAAGGTGTGGTAGATGGAGTTTGTTTTTCTTCCAAGTAGAAAGGCATGTGAGTACTTAAGTTACTTCTGACAGCTGTAAGCTAGCCCCCTTCTCAACAATTTGAGATGGTTGTGGGCATGTGCTTGCTTTCAGTGGTTGTCTTCTAGAGTAATTACCCAATTTAAATCCCTACCTTCTCTTTGGTCTGTCATTCCTCTCATTCCATTCTACCAGTGTTGAATTCTTTCTAACAGGCTGCCCAGCTATATTATTTGCAGAAGAACAGCTGAGAGTTAAAAATTCCTGGCTCTTCTAGACTGTAGCTTTTCCAGCTAAAATGTTATACCGTCAGAAAACAAAATACACGATCTCATCAGATTATGAGCGCCTCCTTTTCCTCAGATTGACTATGGAGTCAGATGTGCCTCTTACTGAATGTTCTTTCCAAAACCAGCTGACTTTGATTATTCTGATTATCTGCTGACCTAGTTGTGACTCTTGTTTATGTATAAGTATTAACATATTATTATTAACAAATTAACATATAAGTATGTTAATTGAAGTAATTAAGTACCATAAAAGCTGAGAAATTGAGATTCTTTCTTCAGAACAGTGGGAAGTTCAGTAATTGTGCTTTGGGTTTGCCTGTGAAGTTTGCCTTGCACAGCCCTGAATTTTGAAGGTAACAGTGATGGAGGTGAAAATGTAGAAATAACCCTAGCTACTACCTCTTAGATTTGGCCATTTGTTGGCTAATCATGACAAGTTTTATGAAGAGTGTGTGTGAGATGTGTAATCCTGAGTTGAGTTGATCAGAAAAACTCATAATTTGAGTGGCAGACACTGAGTAGTAACAGGACAGTGTAATTTTTCCTTCTGTATATAGGCACACAGTTCCTGCAGCCTTATGGAAGAATGCACGAGGGAAGGACCAGCTGTGGTTTGAAGATGCTTTGGGTTCCAGCCATCCTGTAATTCTTTACTTGCACGGCAATGCGGGAACAAGGTGAGGCACAAAACAGTGATAGATTTGTTTCATGCTGTGTTTTCCTGGCTTGCCACAGCTTCAATATGTTGATAAGAAAGATGGGGACAAAACTTTTTCATAGGGCCTGTAGCAATAGGACAAGGGGAATAGTTTCAAACTAAAAGAGGGTGGATTCAGACTAGATACAAGGAAGAAATTTTTCACGATGAGGGTAGTGAAACACTGGCACAGGTTGCCCAGAGAGGTGGTAGATGCCCTGTCCCTGGAAACATTCAAGGTCAGGTTGGACAGGGGTCTGAGCAACCTGATCTAGTTGAAGATGTCCCTGCTCATTGCAGGGGGGGTTGGACTAGATGACCTTTAAAGGTCCTTTCCAACCCAAACTATTTGATGATTAAAACCAAAATAAAATCTAAAATCAGTTTGGTGCTTCTCCTTTCTTTTAGAAGGGAAGCATGTTTTAAGAAATTATGCCTCTCCATTTGTTGAATGTGGGAATAGATTTATTGCCGTTATTGGAGATACCCGTTATTGTAGTTTACCTTGTATGCTCTGCTAGATGGACGCTTGACACTAACTAGATCAGGGAGAAGTACTTCTTTCCAGTATAGTGGTCTCTGAAACAAGACATGGGATAGTATTAGTGCTTCTGTATATGTGATTTAAATGCATTTAAGTAAACTTTCCAGTTCCTTTCATGAGCTTATTTTAGTAGTTAACACATTCTGAGGAAGGAAAATCAGAAGAAAAGAGGAAGGTAATGTTCCGGTCTTGTTTCATTATTGCATACGTACAGGACGTTTGTCTGGAATGGGAGCATTTCTAAAATTTGTAGCTTTATACTTGACCGTGTGTATGAGCTAAGGAGTAGGATGGTTTTCTATACTTTGTTGCTGGATGCTAAAAACTATTAGTGCAGCGTGAAACTTCTTGGATGTTTCTCAGAATCATGTTCTTACTGCCACATCTCTGCATGATATAGCGCTTTAGTTCAGTTATTAGAACATGGTCTTTTTCTTTACTAATATGTACCTTACAAAGAGTATCAGCCACTTTCTGAGTTTTGAGTGCCAGTGCATGTTCTTTTGAAACTGATGACTGCTCATAGATACCCTGCAAGAGGAGAAACATTGCAGAAATACAAGTCTCATGATGCGAAGCAAAGAAACTCTGTTTTAACTGTGTTGGTAGTGAAGGTTCACTAGCCTTTACGTTGCAGGAATGTTGCACTTTTTTCACCTAAATTCTTGCCTTAGCAGTGATCTCTTTTGGTACAAGGGCATGGAGTGGAAGATGCATGCTGTGAGCCAGGAAATGTGTGAGCAGATGGGTTTTTTGAAACTGGCCTTATCATCTTGTGCTGATGTATTACAACATTTAATCAAATTGTTGCATTATTTTTCAAATACTGCTTCACTTGTTTTCCTGCCTTTATTGGGTGTAGCAAATGATACTAATGGAAGCTATTCTGCAGCTTAATGGTGGTAAATTGGGACCAGTATCTGTTAAGTGCGTATTGATTAGATTTACTTCTTGCATCCCCCAAGTGCTACTGGGATATTGAGCTATGGATCCATTACATATTTCACATTTTCCTTTACTCTTGTGTATTGGAGAAGCTGGAGGGGTATTGGCTTTGCCATTTCAGCTTTAATATATATTGGTGTATGTTTCTACACTGCACGTTCAGTCTCTTGTCAAAGGGCGGCTTTATTGATGTGGGCTGCATTAACCATAAGTAAAAGGCACTGCCTTGACTTTCTGGTTTGACTGAGCGGTCTGGAGCTGAGGCAAAAATGTTATGTTTACTTGATCCCCTTAGGAAAAATTCCTCTGTTGCACTTTGAGGAATGCATGAAAAGGCACCAATGTGTGCACATAAAGGGTGACTTTCCAAGCAAGTGTGTTTTCTTCTTCAGACTTGTATGATTCAAAATTACTTACAAGCAACCCCTTGCATTGTGCCCTGAGTGTTTTTGGCTGCATTAGGTATTTTGTAGGACGGTTGGAGCTGATAGCTTTTGGCTGACAAGTGCATGTGTTCTTAGAGGGAGGTCTGGGAAGTGGCATTTTGGTTTGGAGGCTGCACTGACCAAACCAGTCGTGGCGTGAATGTTTTAGAGTTTTCATGTGAGTGCAGGAGTAAATCTACTCTTACATCTATATTAGACTAAAGTGTAAGTGTGGATTAGCTGTGTTGTGGATATATTTTAAAGCATGTAATGGCACATTCACTCTCCTTTCCATTTTATTTCAATTTATTAAAAAAACATTAAAGCAGATTCTTCCTGTGGACTTATTTACAGTGTTCAGCTCTGTTTTTTTCTGCTTAGTCTTTTGCACATGTCCTTTCTGTCCCTGTGCTTGGAGCCAGGTGAGAAAATCCAAGGGCCAGCTGCTTGGGTTCATGTGGTGAGTTCTGCTGAGGGCATCACACCTCGGAGAGCAGGGGTTACTGGCTGGGGCAGCACTGGTGGCAGGAGCACAGGGTCTGTAAAGCCAACAGGGACAGGCTGGTTTGGATGTATTACAGGCTTTGAAAAGGCCGATAGGAGGGTGGGTTGAAAAGTTCATTTTTACCTGCTGTGAGAAGAGATTTATAGGGAGAAGTTGACTTGAAAACCATGTCCTGCATAGCTCAGCAAAGCCTTGCTGTCTCCTTGAAGCCTATCACAAAGCAGTTATGGTGTTTCTTATGTTTGGCATGTTTGTGTTAAACTGGAAGCCTGAGGCAATTGGGAAAGTCTGTTTCTGGAAGCTTAAATGTTCACATGTGGGTTTATTTTTTTCTTCTCTTCATGAATCACTTCTGCCAGAGGAGGGGATCACCGCGTGGAGCTTTACAAGGTAAGTGGCTGTACATGTTGTCCAAGCAGTTGCATTAACATATCAGATGTGCACAGACTTGAGAAGACTGCTCATAACAGCCCACTGCCAACAGGAAGATAGCTTAGGGCTCTTAGTCTTCTCTAGATATGAAGTGTGTATGGGAAAAGGGGTCTGGAAGCTGTGACCACACTTCCCCATATTAAAAGATATTTAAAGGTCTTTTACTTGCTGTTGTAAACTGTCAGCTCCAACTGAGTTAATGAGGTTCTTTGCCAGGAATACTTTCACAACACATTTTGTAAGAAAAATTAAAAATTTTATTTAATCACAAATTTGATTGATTTTACTAGTATACTAATTTAAGGTACCATTTAAGAATACTCTTTCATACGTTACCAGTATCTATATACTCACCATCATAGAATAGAATATTTTCAGTGGGAAGGGACCTATAGATCATTTACTCTAACTGCCTGACCACTTCAGGGCTGACCAAAAGTTAAAGCGTATTAAGGGCATTGTCCAAATGCTTCTTAAACACTGACAGGCTTGGGGCATCGACCCCCTCTCTAGGAATCCTGTTCCAGTGTTTGACCACCCTCTTGGTAAAGAAATGCTTCCTAACGTCCAGTCTAAACCTCCCCTGGCACAGCTTTGAACCATTCCCATGCATCCTATCCTGGCTACCAGGGAGGAGAGCTCAGCACCTCCTTCTCAATTTCCCCTCCTCAGGAAGCTGTATAGAGCAATGATGTTGCCCTTCAGGCCTCCTTTTCTCCAAACTAGATAAACCTGAAGTCTTTAGCCATTCCACATAGGATATTCCTCCAAGCCCTTTCACCAGCTTTGTTGCCTTCCTTTGGATGCATTCAAGGACCTTCACATCCTTCTTAAATTCTGGGGCGCAGAACTGCACACAGTACTCAAGGTGAGGCCACACCAACACTGAATACAGTGGGATAATCACCTCTCTTGACCGGCTGGTTATGCTGTGTTTGATGCACCCTAGAATGCGGTTTGCTCTCTTGGCTGCCAGGGCACACTGCTGAGCCTACCATCAGCCAGCACCCCCAGATCCCTTTCTGCAGGGCTGCTCTCCAGCCGCTCCTATCCCAGTTTGTACTTGTGCCTGCTGTTACTCCATCCCAGGTGCAGAATCCAACATCTAGACTTGTTAAATTTCTTCCCCTTAATCATTGCCCACTTCTTCAATCTATCTAGGTTTCTCTGCAAAGCCTCCTGTCCCTCAAGAGAGTCAACAGCATCTCACAGTTTGGTATCGTCAGCAAACTGACTAGTGGTTCATACAACTCCTGCATCCAGATCACTGATAAATATATTGAACAGAACTGGCACTAGAATTGAACCCTGAGGAACACCACTGGTGATTAGTTGCCAGACAGATGTTAGCCCCATCCACTACAACCCTTTGATCTCTGCTCTTCAGCCAGTTCTTCACCCATAAACTTGCTCATCCCACAGCTAGACAACTTGTCCAGAAGGATGCTGCAAGGCACAGTATCAAAAGCCTTACTAAAATCCAGAAAAACTGCATCCACCATCTTCCCTTCATCCACTAGGCGGGTATACTGTAGCCCTCCATCCCAGCACTCATTCCACCAAATCTCACTAATACCAGTGATGTTGTAGCTCTGGGAACTGACCAGTACTTCCAGTTCATCCTGTTTGTTTCTCATACTGTGTCTGTTGGTGTACAAGCATTTCGGATATGCTCCTGAGCCCTCCATGCTCCCAAGAGCAGTGTAAATGTTGCCACTAGCATTGCCACCCGCAGGCGATGCCATGCTAACCCATGGCTTACCTACTGCAATCCTGTTGGTATCTCCTTCCCCCCGCATTGATTCTAGTTTAAAGCTCTCTCGATCAGTCCTGCCAACTTATGCCCAAAGATGTGTTTTCCCCATCAGGACAGGTGGATCCCATCAGGCCCCAGCACACCTTGTGTCTTGAAGGCTCCTCCATCGTTTAAAAACACAAGGTTTTGGTGGAAAGACCAAAGCACCAGTCCTGGAGCTAGCTATTGATATCCTGGGCTCACCTGTTTCTTCCAAAGTCTCCCCCATACTGGAGGATTGAGGAAGACACTACCTGTGCTCCTGATTTTTTTAGCATTCCGAAATCTCTTCGGATCGACCTCAGACTTTCTGTTGCAACACCATTAGTGAAAGGGCAGGAATGGATAGTAGTCAGAAGGTTGTACTAAGGTCTTCACTCTTGTGGTGACATCCCTAATTTGGGCCCCAGGGAGGCAGCAAACTGCCCTGAAAGGAGGATCTGGTCTGCAAATGGGTACTTCTGTTCTGCACAGGAGGGAGTCATCAACAACCATAACTTGCTGTTGTTTCTTCTTGGCACTGGTCTTAATGCAGGTTTTTTTGTGAGGATACCATACACGATGCCATACATCACCAGCTGCTGGGAAAAAATAGGTGGATTGAGGCCAGCTCAGATTCCTTGTACTCTTCAAACTTTTGAAGGTGAAATTTGTTCTTTTAAATGCCAAAAGGTCAGGCCGAGCCAGTATAAACCTCCATGTTGGTCCATTAGTTGGCCAGGGTGACAAAGCTGGTACTTGCCTATTCACAGAACAATTTGTTGCAATAAAACATTCTCAGGGTTGCCAGTGAGGGGCTTACTTTATCACTTGTCAGGCAGGTAGGTTCAGCCTGGGTTTCCCCCTTTCCCATGGCACAGTGCATTTGTATGAGTGGTGCCATCTCAAGTGCTGAAGATTTTGTACAATACCCAATGAATTTCCCAGATGTAGCGCTGTGGTGTGTTACGTGAGAATAAGCAACTTCAGCTGCTTTCGGTCTTTTTGCCTAATGACTTTTGTGATAATTTATTTTATTAAACTCTCTTGACTGAAATTCTCACACGTGATTTCTTGGTCTCATATCACATGTTTCTAGAAGAGCCATAATTATTTTTGCTGGCTCATTTCAGAGGGGTCTGAGTCTGTGTTTTTCCTATAGATTTAGCTATCATTCCCTTCTTGTAATTTGTGTCAGAGTGTTGGCACTCATAAAGCTTTATTGCAATGCAGCTCCTTATTCAAGATCCCCTGCTGCAAGGTCTTTTTAATTCAGATCACTTGGAAAATGCTGTTTGGCAGCCCTAAGGAAGCAGGTGATATTTGTTTTCCTTTAAGAAAAAAGGATGAGTTGCAGAACTCATCTAATGAGTTGCAGAAAGTTTGTTGAGGAGACTGTCGTGTATCTATTTGGTAATTTTTCTGGGAACTAGCCTATGCTGCAATGCATTTTGTGCTGGCCAAGACAGGCAGAGGAGTTGTTTTGGATTTTATCACAGAATAATTAAGACTGGAAAAGACCTTTAACATCAAGTCCAACTACCAACCCAGCACCACCATGCCCACTAAACTATGCCCTGAAGTGCCACGTCTACACATTTTTTGAATACTTCCAGTGATGGTGACTCCACCACCTCCCTGGGCAGCCTGTTCCAATGTTTGACCACTCTCTCAGTAAAGAAATTTTTCCCAGCATCCAGTCTAAACATCCCCTGGTGCAACTTGAGGCCATTTCCTCTTGTTCTATTACTAGTTACTTGGGAGAAGAGACCAACACCCACCTCACCACAACCCCCTTTCAGCTAGCTGTTGAGAGCCATAAGGTCTCCCCTCAGCCTCCTCTTCTCCAGACTAAACAACCCCACTTCCCTCAACTGCTCCTCATAAGACTTGTTCTCCAGACCCCTCACCAGCTTCATTGCCTTTCTCTGGACATGCCCCAGCAACTCAATGTCTTTCTTGTAGGGAGGGGCCCAAAACTGAACACAGTATATGAGGTGCGGCCTCACCAGTGCCGAGTACAGGGGCACGATCACTTCCCTACTCCTGCTGGCCACACTATTTCTGATACAGGCCAGGATGCTGTTGGCCTTCTTGGCCACCTGGGCACACTGCTGGCTCGTATTCAGCCAGCTGTCAACCAGCACCCCCAGGTCCTTTTCTGCTGGGCAGCTCTCCAGCCACTCCTCCCCAAGCCTGTAGCGTTGCATGGGGTTGTTGTGGCCGAAGTGCAGGACCCGGCACTTGGCCTTACTGAACCTCATACAGATGATCTTGGCCCATCGATCCAGCCTGTGATTTTGACTGAGCAAGAGTAGCAGTGCTTCAGAATACTCAAAGACTGCGTGCCTCTGTGTGTTTCTCTGTGGAAAACATATGGAGAACACAGTTTTCCAAACACCAAGGTTTCTGTTCCTTTTGCTTCTGAGAACATAGTCAAGTTGCTTAATTTTTCTTTTTCAGTCAGTTACTCCCATGTGAACACACACATGGGCGTACCAGAATCATGTCCAAAATGCTGGCTTTGTGCTTATTCCAGCAGAATGAAACAGGCTAAATTGCTGTCCTTTTTGCTGGTGCTGCTAGTAGGCTTGAAAGCAGCAGGGGAGACCCTCTAGAAAAGCCTCAGGTGCTGCTAGTAGGCTTGAAAGCAGCAGGGGAGACCCTCTAGAAAAGCCTCAGGAGGGAAATAATAATTGTAAGAGGTCTCTATCCTTTTGGAGTGATTCATGTAAGCAGCTCTTCTCTGCAGCAGCACTGAAAATTGAGACTGTCACTGCTGCACAGTCTGTGAGCAGGAGGTGTCCGAAATCATTCTTGCCTGAGTTGATGTGTGTTTAAAGACTGTAACCAGAAGCATAAGCCATGAGGAAGCCAGCAGGAGGAGCAGCAGTGGAGCAGTAACCAGATACAAACTCGCTTTGAGGGTCATGCTTTCCTCTAGTCTGGACAAGTGTCCAGTTATTCTTTGCTCAGGCCTGGTTTCCAGATATCAGAGTTACCAGTGTTTTCAGGGTCACTGTGTTATTCACATTATTATTCACACTCCTTCTGCAATTCATACTTGTACGTTGAGGCTTTGGCAGTGAAGCTTTTAGTTATTATTACACTGATGTGCTGGGATAGTGGAGAGTTGATGCAGAGGTTTTTTTGCCCACTGCATGAGGTTATCCAACTTTACAGCAG